CTTGACCGAGTTGACCCGGCTTAGCTAGAAAGGTGACCTTACCATTGAAAAAGCGCTCTAGCCCACTATTTGTTTCTAGTGTATTTAAACGCCAAGTTTCGGTAAGGAAATGTAGGAAATTTTGGCTCGCCAACGGTAGCTGGGATAGGCGAGGGACTCTTCTACTCGGGGCGACTTTTCTTCCTATAAGGAGGGACCTTGCAGTTCTTGGAAGACGTCACGTTATTGGCGGGGAAAAGTATGAACAAACAAAGTTTGGAACCTAGCCCGAAAACAAAAGAACTGCGACACATAGGGGTCTATTCTGAACTGCTGCAAGGCTACTGGGGCCACGGGGCCTAATTGGCTATTTACGCGATGACATGGTTTTGCTACTAAAGGAATTCATTTCATTTTTTCTTTTATAATTAAATTTGGTAATCCCACTGAGGTTTAAATAACAAAAGCCCTAACTTACGCAAGAAAGCAAAACCCTGAAGGAATCTGGTATGTTGAAATGACGTCATCTTGGAAACGGCCTTTTTTAGAATCCCACAAAATTTGGCTTTCTCATGCAAATTAAGGTTCCTGAATTTACTGAATTAAATATGAAAGAAATTTAAAAAGAAAAAACGAAATGATTCTGGTCATATTTGTGGATTGACACTATCGTGAAAAGCCTCGTCCATACAAATCCGGATATTTTTAAAAGCGCATTTAGATATATTTTTCACATGAATCGGCCTTCCGTCTGGTATTCCGTCCACGCACGAAACCGGTGAATCCTCTCACCCAAACATTAGGCTGATTTAGCAACAGAGCGGGAACATCAGTTGACAACGGGAAAGCGCGCGGAAAGGACTAAACGCGACTTCCATTGCTCAATTTGCTGCTCTGTGATTGGCCAAGCCAGTTGTTTGATTTGCGCGCGTCGTCGTCAACTGACGTTCCCGTTCTATTGCTAAGTCAGCCTGATATCTTTTTGAAACCGCTCTCCAGAGTGGTTTAAGGCCTCGTCTACACGAATGCGGGTGAAAAAATATGCAGTTTCAAAAATTAGTCTGGATTCGTGTGCACGTGGCCCTAAAACAGTTCAAGGTAGCTTTTGCTGAATCCAGTCAAGAATGTCCTTGTAAACCACGCTCGCAGTTTGTTCCACCTCATTCAAAAGTTCATGGCGTCCATTTTTGTACACCTGCAAAGCAAGTTTTACACGCAGTTGAGTTTATAATGAAATAATAATAGGTAGATTTAAAAATGACAACGGGACGGAAAATTGGACGAAGAGGGAAAACTCTGTATTATTCTTTAGACACCCGTTTGGGGACGAGAATTTCCTCTTTGGTGATTATTTTATACATTCTCATAACCTTTTTCCTTGAAAATGTGGTGACATTGTTACGAGAAAATAGATATTGGTCACTCTTGGGGTTAAAAGGGTTTAGACAAATCACGACTTTTGTTGGGATAAGTTTACAATAATTACGCTTGGAACAAAGCGGCCGAAACTCGTACCCCGGGCAGGACAATATCACCACATGAAAAAACGCCGTTTTAAGACCGCATCTTCCTGCCATCATGATATACCGTCAAGCGCCCTGACTATTCGTCGGAAATACCCATAGAGAGGCTATTAGTTCTCTCAGTGCTGTCAGTAAAGCAGCTCATTCGTGTACCTTAAATGTCTTGTCGTTACTTGGGGAACTCTCATGTAAGTAACGTGAACCGTCAATCTTCACTAATTGATCTCCATCACCATGGACAAGTAGATAAGATGTTGTAAGCCTTGAAAAGTTCCCCTGGATTTCATTCATTGCATCTAATATAGCTCCCGCCCATCTAACTTTCATTCCCTCATGCCAGTTTAGGCTATCATTGGCATACTTTTCAACCTAAAACAATAGTAATAAACAAGGTGCATTGTGTTATTGAAGTCCTAGACTTGCCACAAGTCAAGCGCGAGAGAGTAGAAGGCGCGAGGGACGCCTGGTACTCAAGGAAATTCGACTTGTTGTAAGACCTTTGGTTACTAAATGGATTGTGCAAATAACTGAGTGACATTGAATTTTTTATGGGGAGGCTCCAACCCTAAAAAACACGACGAGCTCCTTCAACGATAAATGTGTAAGGAGTTAGGTCAGGGGGTGGTGCCTTACCATATAAAACGTTGTTGAGTAGCTCCCCGCCCTCCCCCACCGGGGGTATAATCTTAGGGTTGATCAATTGAACAGGACAGAATAACCCTCGACAAACCTGAATATTTTCGGCATTGTTCGAAAGTCGTGGAAACTTTTTTTGGAAACGCGGATAAAATGCATACGAAAGTCCCTCTCCTTTGACTCACGAAAAGAGAGCAGTTTTCAATTGTGTTATTCGCCTTTTTAGAAACGAGAAGGGAATTTTATTAGAGAAGAAATTTGACCCGCGATTGTTTCTTGGATTGTCACTGGGGTCACGCCGGTCAGCTATTGGCCAATCTTTTTCTCTGTCCTTAGTAACAATCCCAGACCTCTTTGCGAAAGTAAACTCGGCTGAGTTTCTCTGTAGTTTTGCATCACCTGTGTAGGATCCTGGCTTAAGAGTGATGGATCAATCGGTGGCCTGATCTGGTACGAGGGCATTATCCATGATACTATTCTTCCTACACAAACCTGTAAGATACATGTATTATATACGTTATTTGAGAGCTTTAGTTTTTAAGACGAGGACGACTACGAGTACGAGATTTTCTTAATGCTAAGCAGTGCGCGCGCATTAACCAGTGTCATTTTGGCGGGAAAACGTGATAGCCGTCGTCATTCTACTACGAGTTTTGCCGAGAATGTCGTTGTGACGAAAACAAGTTATCAAATGTTAGAAGCTAAGTTTTATTATTTTCGGTCGGGAGAGGGCTTAAACTCCTTCAATAAGTAACAGTGCTAACTTTTGTGGTGAATCAAAAGTACAATGGAGCTTTCCGGGTGTCTATTTTTCTTTTTGAGAAGAGCGAAAGTCGTACTCCTAGTAGTTCTCATCCTCGAATCTAAAGGTCTCTTTTAACCAAGCGTGAGGTCCAGATAGCTGAATATTGGCCAAGTTCTTTTTGTTTGTTTTTTTTGCGTTTTTGTATATGGACCAATCACTACTGTATTAATTTCGCACCTCCCCCAAGAAGACAAGGTTAAAAACTTGACTCGTGATAAAATAATCTCCTATTAAAATAATCATCATATTCCCTTCCCTCCGCCACTAGAACTTTGTAAAAAGTTCGTTTCGACTAGTAATTAATCAGATATGTATGTTTAAACAACATGTGAATTGACTATAAAAAAAACTGCTGCCCCTGCAAATATTTCACATCTAAAAACTGTTTTATCTCACTCTGCATTAAAGCTATGGTAAAACGGACAACAAAAACGTGAAACCTGTTTTACAAAATTGTTGGGAAACTAGTTGAAAAGTGATGTTGCGCATTTTACTACCCACGAATGAAGCCTCCCTTGCAGCAAATCAGGTTTATACAAGTTGCGAAAAAGTTGTTCCAGAAACTCGAGAGAAGTTCTACTTTTTGCATCAAAATCTGTCAATGTTGCGCGTTTTAATTACCGACCCAAGGCAAACTTGTTTTGCAGCAAGTGATGTAACTCCTGTGTATGGCGTGACTCCTGCGTAATTTTATCCAATCAGGAGTCAGTATTTACGCAACTTGCAACTCTGAATCTTATTTGCTGCAAGACAGGTTTGATTTATGGGCAATAAAACGCCCAGCATCGCTTTCGGACTCGTTCTGCAGCAATTGTTGCCCGTTTTACTGTACCTTTAGCTTCGCTTTTAAAGAGAGAGTTTTTGGAACTCGGAAATGGGCTATTATAGCCTGTGATCATGCATCCCTATAAAAAAACCCCGCCTGATCGCGGGTTAAGATAATTAATAGACGATGAATCATGAGAAACTATTGTTTTACCAGTTATTTCCTTGTTTCTGTTTTGGGGTTTTTGATCATGGTTTGTATTTTTAAATTCTCTTTCAGTTTTGTGGTTCAGTTTTGTATTTTTTTGTACGTGTTTCCGCTTTGGGATGTTTATTTCTGTTTTGGGATTTGTACTTCTGTTTTCTGGTAGTGTTTTTCTGTTTTGGGTTTGCTGTATCCTGTTTTTGCATTGACGGCACCCTAAGAAAAGAGAAACAGTCATTGCATTGTGTTTTCGTTTATTATTTGTAGCAAGCTTAGCAATAAATTACCGTGCAAGGATTGGCATCCACTTTTATGCTTGGTGCGCTAAAAATAGCATTCGCAAAGAAATAAGGTCTTTCCATAACACTGAGAACAGCTATTGTACCACCCTAAAAAGAATAATGCATAATATTAATAATATCATAACATGAAATTTTTAAGGGAAGTCAAACCTCCCGTAGGCGACCACTGTAAAGGCTAAGACTTTGTGGTCACTTACAGAGGGTAGTCGCTTACGACACTTCTTTGGAGTAGATTTCTTGGCACATCTACTTTAAAGCAGATAATTTACTGCACCGATTTCTTTGTCAGTTACATTTTGTTACTTAAGTTCTTCGTATACTCCTAGTAGCATACAGCGAACATAAGAGTCCAGACAAATCGTTAAGGGGTCGCTTTTTAGGAGGTTAAAAACAATGGGAAATCTCTCTAACGCGGTCGCTTAAGGATGGTGATTAGTTTTACGAGAGGTAGTTGTTTTTTACGAGAGGTGTTCGCATATGGAGGTTCAACTGTATCAGTGTTTTCGTAATATGTGATTTAACTGCATTGAAGCCAGACTTGAAAAGAGTTAAAAATAAGAAAACCTGAAATTCTCAGGCTATCTATGTTATCAAAAACCGGCAAGAGCGCGACATTAGGAAACAACCGCAAAGCATGATGGGCTTGGGGTCTTTATCGTAATTAACATATACTTGTATTCCCGTGATCGACTCGGTTAGGGGGCCCGAGAACCTAAATAAATTTAAAACAAAAAACAAACAAACGAACAAACAAAAAAAAACGAAAAAAAGGGGCAGAGTTCCAATAACGTTTTTATAACAGTACATACCATTGAGTGGCCAAACATAAATATTGGTATGCCTGTGTTGTCTGCTGTGACTTGGTCAATGTGTTTAAAAACGTCTCTGACGTAAATGGAAAAATCTGATATTTGGACTCTTTCTCCTTCACTCTGACCATGACCAACTAATAGAAAGATTTATTGTCAAAAAGTAGCTCTTGAAGGGTTATATCACACTATTTCCTGTCTTTCTTTGTATTCGCCAGGTGCCCATAACATCGTAAATTGAATTCCAAAAATAATGGTCCAATTTTCTACTCCATCTTTATCCCTCTCTCCCATCCCTAACATTTTACGGGCCATCTCCCCGAGCTCACAAGGTTCTGCAATACACGTATTTTTAGTTTTAGATTACCACCCCTAGCCCCCTACCCCGACTCTTCCCGAGAAAGTATGATTACATGCAGTTACTGTACCACGGAAGAGATTTAACAAGGCCGGGGTGGGACGTACCGTGATCTTGACTGAAGGCGAGGTAGCCTTGTTCAGCTTAAGCATTTCCAAGCCTCTGGTATCGTGAGCAATGCTCTCCATATCCATGACAGATAAAGACCAATGCCCTATCGAGGAAATAACCACGAAAATCTGTCGTTATTTGTTTTATCAATGATCAAGAGACTTTCAAGTTTGTGCTATAAATCATTTAGAATCCTTCCGAGCACAGTAAATGATTAATTAACTGCATGATGTATTACAACTAATTTCTTTTAATACGAAGGTTTAGTTTATTTTCTTCAATTTTTGTATTCTTCGGATGACCATATTTTTGCCTACCACCTACCGACTGATTTCGCTATCGTAACAATAGATCAGCTACTATCATTCAGTTCCCTGGATTTTTGTCAGCGATTGTACCGATCCTCAGATCATATGGAAACCAGGGCCCTGCTTGGCTGAACGAGTAATTTTCAGCGTTTCGACTTAACGCTGCAGCACAAAGTCAACCCTGGACATCTCGTGCATGCTTGAAATTTAATTTGCACCCGTTTAAATGACGTCCTTTCAAGTTAATTTAACTTTGCTCGTTTGATTTCATTCCTTTGCTCTAACTCCACATTAGCATAAACTTGTCAGGTGTTAGGAAAACTAAGACCCTCGAAAACTAAGACCTACGACCCGTCTTAGTTTTCGAGATTACGAAAACTAAGACCCCCTAAAATCAAATCCGTCGAAATATGAAGTCAAATTGTAATTGAAATAGGTCTAATCTTTCAAATTATCTTTCTTGCTTGAAAACCGATTTACCTAGTGGGATGATGACAGAATCAGAAACTTGCCTTAAAATATGTAAAAAACGTCCTAGAATCGATAATGTTTAACGCCTCTGAGGTGCAAGGAGTCCAAGGAGAAGTTGTTTTAAAATGGTTTAAGACATCAAAGAGATCAGTTATCACAGTAAACATCTCGTTTTCCTCAGGTTTAATACAACATTACTTATCTGGGCCGAGTTGTTCAAAGCCGGGTTAAGATAACCCAGGGTTAGTGCGAGATTTGAATTCAAATTTGAAAGCTCAAAAAGCATTTCAGTTTTAATTCTTTTTGTCTACAAGTTGATGATTGAAAGCTCTAAATACAACAGAGAAAATTATCCGAGAAAATGCTTTTGAACACAAGAAAGAGAAACCCGGGTTAAATTTAACCCTGGGTTAAGCGCTAATCGGCCTTCGAACAACTGGGCCCTGAAGGTTACATCAGAAACCAAACATTGTATCAAGCAACGTGTTGGGATAAAGTAGAAGCAGTTCAACAAGCCGACCTATAAGTCACCCGATGTAAGGTAATCCAAGATAGTCTGGGATTCTGGATTCCACGTCACGGATTCCGGATTCCATGTACTCGATTCCAGTCTTTGTCAGTAGAACTTGGACTCTCAATTCCAATTAATGATAACTAATAACTTTATTTCAATAGCGCTCTTATCCTATGTTCAAGGCGCTAGTGGGAGTCCGGATTCTTTGAGCTGTACTCCAGACTCCAAAACCCAGGATTCCAGATTCCACAGGCAAATTTTTCTCAGATTCTGGATTCTGTTACATGAGGCGATATAAGGGATGAACCATTAGGAAAGTAGAGGGGCTGGGTGGGATGTTTGGGGGGTCTATAAAAGTTTCCTCTCAATCCCTGAGGTGGAAGTCTATTTTTCCTCCTCGAACAGCCTTTTTGATCATGGTGCATGTGGAGACTTTTTTCTTACTAATGCGTTTGCCTTCCCCCAATCTCCTATCCTTTTTTCTAATGGTGACATCCCTAAATTAAAGCAGCTCCTTTATAAATAATATAACTGAGAGATGGCTAAAAGTCAATGGCCTCGAGAAAAGCTCCCATCTGTTATGTTGCATCACCTCAAAAGACAATGTTGGTCAATGTTATCACCTCAAACATTCTTAACAAAGTACATGCTTGCCAAATATAGAACACGATGTCTCGCCCTTAACTTCCAAAGTAAAAAGTGAAAGAGACTTTCTTACTTTCCCGGAAGCAAAGGTCTATAAAAAATTCATAACACCACCCTGTATTCTCGATAATTTTCCCTTTTTATTAAGTTTCCACTAGCTTAGATCGATGCGTACTCAATATGGATATCTTGCATTCATCAAGAGGTTATAAACAGTTTAATTGAAAAGCGGAAAAACAAAAAAAGTTAGCTCATTAAGCTTATCATGGAGATCAGCGACCTATTGTAAAATCAAAAAACTTGAGAAAGACTTGAAAAATTAAAATACGAACAAGGGGTTCTCGGCAATAAGAATCTATGTATAAAAGTATTAATAATTCTCTATTTGACGATCTTCAACTAGGCTTAGCTACACCAAAGCTCATTCCAAACTCGCATTTTATTATTGAATGTATAAACAAAATTTACCAGCAAGTAACAGGGCCATTACTATCACAACCACGTTGAAATAGAAATTTCCATATTCAAATAACGTTGATACAATCCTGGAGTTGAAAATTTGGTTCCATCTGAAAGGTATAAGATAAAAACAAAGCCATTTCAGTGCAAACGAATACAGCTGATGCAGCTGTGTGAGGAAATCGTGAACGCAAAATCTTACCGTTTAGGAGAAATAAAAGGCAAACAGAATAAAAGGAGAACGCCTATCTCAGCGTAAAGAAAACCAGCTGCGAATGTCCACTGAAGTGTCATATTTGTGAAGAAAATACAACTATTTTTAAAAACGCTCTTCTGGCAAAGGTTGAGTCACCTTTTAACTGCATTGTAACCACGCTTTAACTTGGTATCCAAGCACTAAACGGATACGGAAGCCTCGGACGTGCCGAATAGAAGCCGAATAGAGCCGAGCGAGCATTGGGCATGCCGATTGTTTAATTTCCGGTCTGCTGCTTGCCTGCTGCCTGCCTCAGCCTGCATCGTTACTCTTTTTTATCGTGGTAGTTTGGAGTTTTGCCTGTGTAGTTTCAAAAGGGCTTCCAAACATGAGTGTTTTAAACTCCGTTGTGATTTTGTCATTGTTTAGCGTTTCTCTCTTTGTGAATTCAAATGCATCAGTTTGGCCTTTACCGACCCCCATCTATCTCTCCGGACCGCCTCTTCCGATTTCGCCAGTTTTTACCTTTAAAACCTCATCAACATCGGGCGTCCTCAAGCGTGGAATCACTCGCTACTTGGAAATAATTCTGCAGCAAATTGTTGGGGGAAACGTGGATAACCATCTCAGAGCTAACCAAACCTTGAGTGAACTTGTTCTGAGTGTTCGCAGTGACAACGAAAGTTTGCAAGTTGATACTTCCTACTGGTACATTTTAAAAGTAAGCAATGGAAAGGCTAGTATTGAAGCGAAAACCCCTTATGGTGCACTGTAAGTGACCTAAAATATACTTAACTAATATCGTCATACCAGCTCCCCTCGCCTCACCTTTCCCCACCCCACCCCAAAACATTTTCGACATTCTGTTCTCCTCAGGTATCAGATTCCAACCGAGAGGGGCTGGGTACGAATCCCTTTGTTGATAAACAAGACGAGACCAACATAGTCAGAAAGGGCACATATCGAACAATATACAGCCATTCAAAGACTCCAAAATTTACTAAGAAATATATAGACGTTGAGAGTGTGTGTCCCGCAATCCATACATCTTTTATAATTTTCAAGTTTATAAATAGCTGTATCTTGTCCAATATTGGCCCAATCAACACCAGACTTGGGATTTTACCTACATGTGTAATCTCAATGGGCTCTTCCTGACTACTTGGCAGTAGGTCTCCTGTTGTTTATCCCATAACAAACCAACCCATACCCATCCCTCCTTGGTTTGAAATTTGGCAAGACACTAGGCAATAGACTCTGATATGAAAACTTGCTTGTAAAGAAAAATTGAGATTTGAAGGAAGATAGTGATTCCAAGTTCATTTTAGGGACCGGTCATTATTTATGTGGGGGGTTGGGGGGGATTTTTTTTGTTTTAGCATGAAAGAAAAACCATGACCCACTCCTTTAAGCCCATTAGTTAATTCTTTGCCCACCCCCAAAATAACTTTATATAAGAGGTGACCCACCCCCAACCCCCTTCAATCTATACCTCTATAAGGAGTTCCTGTTCACTGAACGAAATCAGCATATCTTGTGGACCAGTGTCCTACCCTGCGGCCACTTCTTGTTGATGTGCCTTGTTGTATTGTTACAGTATGACTGTCATCATCTGATTCACTTTTGCTTTCTCTTTCATCACACAAAACAAGGTCATTATCACTGTCACTCTCATCACTGTCCTCACCGACACTGACGCTTGAAGGAAATGTAGATTGATTCGCCTGATTTTGTCGATTTTCTTTCCGTTATTGCTAAGTTTATTATGCTCAATGTATTTGTCCAACTCGGGGGCTTTCAGAGTGTCAAGCTCCCCCTTCTCTACAAGTGTTTTCCAGTAATAGCAATGTACATCTTTTAAGGCTTGAACTTGCTTTCTTTTCTTCGCTCTTGCTTACGGATCTCATAGACACTTGGGTTGGATACCTACATGTGACATCCAGTTGTGTCATACTT